TTTCTCTAGAAGGCCGCCCTGTTCCATTACATTTACTCTGCATGTGTCACTCCTGCATCTGTCACTGAAGGTCTACCAGGAAAAAGCCACTCATTTCTCAACTTACCAAAGACTTCAGAAAGTAAGATGAGAAAGACACAGGATGGTGGGGCTATTGTTTTGAGGGATGGGTTGCTGATGCGCAGCTGCCATTTTGGAACAGGGTCTCATGTGTATGTAAGCCCAGGCTGGCTTGGCACTCAAGATTCTTGCTCCTTATAATCCTGGGACTGCAGGCACGCACCACCATGTCCAGCTTGAGACATAATAAAACTGGAAACATCTTGGGGGTCTATTTGAAAATTAGATTTTGTGCTGAGTTTATAAGTCTTTCTAAAAGGCTTGGTGCTGTGTAAGTTCCATGGCTCTGTTGTTATGTTTTAAACTATTGTGAAGCTACACTGAAGTTTAAACTATCACAATCATCTTCCATAACAACTTTGTTACTATAGTAACTCTGCTGTGAGTCTGATTCATCCACTGTATTACAAACGGTATGTCTACATTTGGGGAAGGAAATCGTTATTTCCAGTAAGATTGTTCATGGTTAAGAGAGAATAGAACTGTACATTTTCCAGGCTTTCTAAAAGTGACCTCCATTTATTCTCTCAAGGGAAAGCACATAGGAAATATCTGATTCACAGATATTATGGTAGATGTCACTGCTTTTTATGATAACAAGGGCGATGACTAGGTGTAGAGAGTAGTTGCTAGGCAACCATGAGGACTGAAGTTCAGATCCCCAGGACTCATGGGAAACCCTGGTATGGCCACATGTGCCTGTAACTCCAGCACTGAAGGGAGAGACAGTCAGATCTCAAGAGCCAGCCTGGCCAAAATGGTGAGACCTTTTTCTCAGAAAAGCAGGCAAAACACCCACACATAAAATTACAAAAATAAAATAAAAAGAGCCTGTTCTCAGGGGAGCAAGAAGAGTGATAGAGCAGGACAGCCAACACTCCCCTCTGGCTGCATGCATGCATACACCACAGAGAGACAGTTAACTTCCTAAAGTTCTCTTTTCTACCAACTTCCCAAACCAGTGGTATCTGAGTGTGCCCTGCTTGTCTCTCCTCAGACCACTAATCTTATGCTTTATTTTGCTCTCACTGTGTAGCCCTGCCTGGCCTGGAACTGAGCTGAGGCCTTGCTGCCTCTCTCTGCCTCGCAAACTCTGAGATTACACACAAGCCTCCCTGCCAGGTGTGCCTCCTTACACTTCCTGCTTTCTCTCCCCTTCTCATCTTACTGCCTAGCTGTGGTCCTGAAAGGTTTGACTAACATGTAAAAGACCAACAGAGTCACTGGTCTCTAGCTTAGCAGCTTCTGAACAGAACAAAGGTAGTTCAAGTCTTCAAAGTAAGACCCTGGCTTCTGCTATGAGCCTGTCAGCCACGCAAGCTCTTTAAACCAGCAAACTCTATTAAGAGTTCAAAAGTGGTTTGAAAATAGTTAAAAGTACCCTGAACAGTGGTCATCACACAGCGAGGACTGATGGTCAAACCTTTCCTCTTTGTCCTAACCTGAATGAATAACTGACCTCAAGGCTGCTTGCCCATCTTGGGCTCCTCAAGCAGAGCCGATCCGTACTCCTTTCTCACAAGCCACTCTGCTTCTTCCCTCATGTGATGACATGAGATAGTATCTCCCAGTTCTAATACATGTTTATCTGCAGCTTTTGTTCAGATGGCAATTGTGAAATCGAGATTCTTTCTGTAGCCGGGGTGCCATTTCATCTAAAATGCCTTTAATATGACTTCATCATGAGAGAGAAAAACAGGCTTGGAAACAACTCCCACTAAAGCATTAGAGGCCAGCAATGGGCGTGCTGAAAGGCTCCCAGAGGGGGCATCCACCCCAGCACGGTCATTAGCGGTGCCCTGGACCCGGACCCGCTGCTCCTATGATGAAAGCTAACAACCGCCGCTTCGGTGGGGGCAGAGTGGCCTTCTCAGGCGCTCCCGGGGGGCCACTCTGTGCTGGCACGCTCTGGGATCAGTACGTTCACTGCACAAGTGGGCAATTTCCAAGATAGACAAGAAAATAAGCTCAGTGGGTATTTTCTCCCCCACAGTTTTCTAAAAAGTAACACAAAGCTGTAAAACTAAGTGTACATTATGGAAGGTACTTCATACCATGGGGTACTTCACTCTTTGGCGACAACTTTATTATATGTTGTTCCTGAGCCATTGCTCATTCTCTTGGTTATTTTCTTTTTAAAAATGTTCAGAACTCTGTAAGCTTGTGGGAAAGGTCTAAATGGATAAAGACCACAGGCCAGGCCTAAAGGCAATGACCTCTGTGACAGAACACTGATGGCCTGGGGGAAGGGTGAGGGAGTCATCATGTGCCCTGCACACCATTAGTTTACCCTCCTGAACGTTTAAGCAGAGGGTGGCATCAGGCACCTGTAATACCTGTCCTGGGGAGCAGGGGCAAGAGGACCGCCACCCGGGCATAGTGCAATCTGTGCCTCTAGGAAGGAAAATGCACTTTACATGTACAAGACCTAAGGTTTCTAAAGAAACCAAAACTCCCCAGGCCTTAACAAAGCTGGGTGTTCTCTGCTATTGATTTCATACATAGCCCTAAAAGCGCACATCTTGGTATCTTTCTGGAAATACCTATTTCCCGTGTATCGCTTTTTGTGCATGGGGTACAAAACTGTGAAACACACCCACCCTCAGGTATCAGCTTGCAGCAGTAAGGCCACGCGGAGTTCTGTCATGACAAGCAGGAGAGTCTGAAATGGGCCTACTGCATTCCATCATTTTCCCCACCAGATTCAGTAGTCCTGGTCTGTTACACAATCAGGCACTGTACTCAACTGTTCAAAGAAGGCTTTTCAAAAAGCACGGCAGTCAGCTCATTTGTTCCATGCCGAAACTGGAATAGGAGAATGCCACGTAGTTTAGGACATAGTAAGTGTGTGTGTGTCTGCTGTGTGGTCTATTTTTGGGAGTTAGACTGAGAAACTTCCTTTTTGAATACATGTAGGAAAATAAAAGTAATAGAAGAATTACTGCATGACTTTATTTTATTCTTAAAATAGCTCTGTCCAACATGAACGGACTAATGTCTTCCCAGGAGCCTATAGTCATTTACTATCTGACGTCAAAGGCTCATTTTCTACATTCATTTACTATCTCCGAAGGGGTTCTCCAAAACTGCATGTAACAACTAACACCCTCCTCCCCTTTAAAAGAGTCTCACCTTACTGCCCAGGCCAGCAATGAATGCACAACAATCCTCCTGCCTCTGCCTCCCAAAAATGAGCCATGATACCCAGCTAACAAACATACTTTTAAATCTTCACTATTCCAAAGAAGTAAAAAAATAAGTCAGGCAGTGGTAGTAAGGGCCTTTAATCCCAGTACTCAGGAGACAGGCAGGTGGATCTCTGCGAGCGAGGCCAACCTGGACTACACAGACAGACAGACAAGGGCTACACAGAGAAACCCCGTCTTGAAAATAAAGGGAGGGGAGTGATAAGGTACCGAGAACCCACAGGACCTAAGGGGGAACAGCTCTGTGGCGACTCTCAACACCCGGAATGCTGACAACAGCTTTCCCTGGATACGTTTAACAACTTGAAATGCTTAAAAAGCTATTAGTACACGAGGCTGCGGTGGTTATGTATCCATGTCAGAAGCACTGTGTGGGGCTTTGGAGATGGCTCAGTGGTACCCTAGTACACACTAGGCCCTGGGTTCAATATGCACACAACCTCAAAAAAAAAAACAAAAACAAAAAACAAAAAACAAAAAACAAAACAACAACAAAAAAAAAAAAACAAGGAACACATTTCCACACATTGCCAGGTCCTGGAGTCTCCATTGGTACACATTTTTTTTTCTTTTAATTCGGGGAGGGCGGGGGTGTGGGGTGTGTGGGGTGTGTGTGTGTGTGTGTGTGCGCGTGCGCAGGTGTGTGCACTGCCTACATGTATATGTGTGCCTCACTTGCATGTCTAGTGCCCTCCAGAGGCCAGAGAGGGTGTGTGTGAGCACCTGGATCTTGAGCTAAAGATGGTTGAGAGCTGCCAAGAACTAAGAACAGAGGCGAGGTCCTCTGGAAGAGCAGCCAGGGCTTGTAACCCCTGCCTCAACTCTCTAGCCCTGGGTACAGGCTCTCTGCCTGAGCCTGGGGCTCACCACTGTGGCTAGGCTGGCTGGTCAGAGCTGTTGACATCTGTCTTTGGGGACTATGGGAACATAACTGTTCTTCGGAGATATTTGCTAAGAAACCACAAGTTCCTGAATAAAAAAGAGCTGCCTTCTTGTCGGACCTCTTCTTAGCCTCCCTTACTCTCGCCTCTGGAGAGAAGCCGGGACACACATCTTCAACTCAGCAAGATGACTCTTATTTTATACCAGATGCGCTTTCAGTATCACAGGGATCATGCTATTTCCCTGGAAGACAGGTTACATTAGTCAGCTCTCTAAAACCGCTATTCTTGTCTTCCCCACCTCAAACTGCAACTGTACCCAGTCTTCGTGAGTGCTAGCCGGACAAGTGCTCTATGTCAAGCTACACGGCTGTACTCCCCGCAAGGAGCCACAAGACACTGTCCACAGTTTAGCATACTTGAGCCCAGAAGATGTCAGACAGAAAGCAGAACTCTTGGTGGCTCATGTTTACACTGAGAAACTCAAGAGTTTCACTGTTTCCACAGAAAACTTGGCCTCAGGTGCCAAGTCAGGAGATTTAAGGTCAACAGGGTTCCAAGGAAGACCCAACCACATGCGGCCGAGGGTGGCAGATGCACCAACGGACAAGCTGTGATTTGGAAATGGCACTGTACATTCACACTAATGTTTATGCAAGTTAAATCTTAAACAGAGAACTGGAATAACTTCTGTTTCCTTCATGTGCAATCCAAAGCAAAGGCAGGAAGAGGATCCAAGCTGAAGACAAACCACACACTTGCAAGCCAATTCCATACCACGGTCAAGTCTTACCTTTTCAGGTCAACGGTGGTGACACTAAACACAACTCCTTTGAGCCACAGAATCATGAAGAGCCTCTGTGAAAAGGGGCAGTTTCCTATGCTTTCACCATCACTGCCAGCCTGGAAACAGAATTAAACATGAAGAACAAGGTCAAAAAGGTGACAGTCAAGCAGCAGCTTCCTACCAATCCAACCAGAAGGATTAGGAGTGGCAAGGAGGGTGGAAAGGCAGCTCTTAATTATTTTGGGCTTTCATTTGCCTCAGTTTTTTTCTTAGAAATGATCAGTCCAGTAAAGCATTGTCCCAGAGGCCTCTGTACTGTAAAGGAGCCTTTATTACCACTCTTCCAACATGGCAGCCAGCAGCAAGATCAGCTAACAACCACTCACAATGAGGAGAGTACCAATGTCATGAAGATTTCTGCTTTTCTGAAGGCAATGATAAATGAGGTTGAATTTTCTGAAGTTCAGTCCAGACAAATATTTAATTTTATCAGGTGTGCCCCAAGATTAAAATAGAGAAGGGGGGTATGGTGGCCCACACCTGCAATCCCAGCACTTGAGAGGCAGAGGCAGGAACATCAGGAATTCAGTCATCCTCTCCTACAGAGCAAGCTGAAGGCCAGCCTGAGCTACCCTGTCTCAGGAGAGAAACAGTTCAGCTGATCTTCATTCTGATCACTTCAGCTAGTGCTTCACTGTGATGGCCATTCACCATGGTAGCCAAAAGCGCCATTTTCTCATCCGGTTCATCTGAACAATACGTCCTTTGGGCTTTGGACTTCCCAGAGAGAAAGGGGTGCAAGAAACATGGAAGTCTGTCTGCTGGTTTTCACACACTGTAAACAGCCGAGAGAGTGCCTATGAGCAGAAGGCAACCTGTACTACCAATCCCTTTGCAATGTAGTGGAATTCTGCACTTTCCTTTCGGGTGGAAAAGCTTTTAAACCATAACATGTTTCTAAATTAAGTTGACAAAAATATACTTTCTATTCCTTTTCTCTTCCTCCACAGATAAGGCCTCTGTCACTTTCTAAAACAGACCACAATAATTGATGATATACATTTGGGGTTCGGGGAGGTACTGTTTATGTCACTGTGGGCAAGCCATTGACAAGATTACAGGACCTCAACATCTTCCTCTTCTCTTTTGCTTCTTGGTCAGATAAGCAGTTTGTTCTGCCATATACGACCAGCCACTGCCACCCAGCTTCCACACCCAAAGCTGTGAACCTCAACACCACCAACCAAAACAACACTTTCCAGAAGTTAGTTATCTGAGTACTTTGTTATAGTGACAGGAAGCTGACCAGTTCAGCCTCGAACATCAAGTGGATGGCACAGAACAAAGAAGCTATAACCCGAAAGAGCGAAAAACCATCCACTCTGAACAAAGAAAAAGCAGGCTTAAACTGAATACATAAAACCAGGCATAGTGGCACACACCTTTTATCCCAGCACTTGGGATGCAGAGGCAGGTGAATCTCTTGAGTTCAAGGCCATCCTGGTCTACACAGAAAGGTCTAAGACCACATATAGCAAGATCTTGTCTCCAAACATTAACAAAAACCAAACAATCCCCCCCACCAAAAAAAAAAAAAAAAAAAGACTATCAGCCAATTTTTGAGAGCATATGTGTGTTCCTAACACTCAGGAGACAGAGATAGGAGGATCACCACCAGCTCAGGGTCCACCCAAGGGAAAATAATAAGCCATACTGGGAGGTGGGTCTTAGCACTCATTTGAGTTTATTTTCTCTCTACCATGCTGCCTGATGTGGCTTCACTCACCAGCCCCGCCCCCTCCAGGCCTGTTGTAATTCTGCAATTGCACAATCCTGGCATTTAATGAGAAACCGCTGGATTAGCTCCTGCATTGCAGAGTAGGGGTCAGTGGCAGATGCCATGAATATTTTAATGTTTGACTAAGGCAAGGTTAAGAAACTGCTCACTTAGAAAACCTTGTTTAATCAGTCTTTAGACTAGTCGGATTGAAAACTAAAGCACTATCTTCGAGTTCTGTTGCGCATGCTGATACCACCATGCACACTCAAGGTCTCAAGGCCTGTTACCTTTCCACCAGTCTGCAGGGTACACAAGAGTACAAAGTCTAGACTCAGAGACACATCTGGATTGATAGCGACAGCAGAGAAAATGAACCCAATCAAGACCCCTAGACTGCATCATTATTTCTAAACTGTATCACAGCATTGGAAAAATTACAAGTGAAAGGAACACACACAAAAACACCAAGAGTGGTGACACACACCTTTAGTCCCAGAGGTAGGTGGATCTCCGAGTTCAAGACTAGCCTGGTCTACATAGTAAGATCCAAAACAGCCAGGGCAACACAGAGAAAAAACCCTGTCTCAAAAAAGCAAAAAAGATAGACAAGCCTAGTGAGCCGTTCAGTTTGCACTCAGTCACTAGAATCCCAGAGTTCTTGTCTTTCAGAAAAGAGAGAAAAGACTGTAAGAGACTTCCACACTAAAGTCTTCCAAATGGCAATATAGCCCTGTGCTTTGCTTTTGGTTTTTGATTCCCCTCCATCAATTTATTTTTATTTATTTACGTGTTGCGCATGCGTGCTAGCTGGTCTATATGGACACAATGTGCATGTCGGTGCCTGTGGAACTGTTTTAAGCCATACTCTGTCTACAGTCAATAAAATGGCTTAGCAGGTTAAGGCGCTTGTAGCACAAGCTTGGTGACCCAAGTTCAATCCCCAGGGCCGTATAAAGGTAGATGGAGAAAAACTGCCTCCTTGAAGTTGTCTTCCGACCTACAATACAAATATAGAAACACACACACATGACCACAAGTATACAATAAATTAATATACTACTCCATATAGCAAAATTAAGTACAGCAATTGGAGTGAAGCAAAAATAATTTTTGCTTAGGATATCAAAAAATCTCAGGCCATGGCCAGCCTGTACCATCTCACAGTCTTGTAATTTAGTCCTGATATGGCATGGAGGAAATCACTAGGTTTCCAAGATCTGTCTTCATGAATAAAATAGCCAAGGACAGGACTGCACACTCATTCCAGGATGGCCAGAGCTAGACAGACCCTGTCTCAAAAGAACAACAATAGCAAAGGTTTCAGACCTCAAGTGTTTCCCATCTCCTGGCTCCTGAAGCCCGTGCCACTGAGAGAGGAGCTGACCGACCCTTTTGGAAATCACACACAACCAAGCAGGGCTAGATGCAACACCAGGTCAGCGCAGAGAGCATTTGCAAGCTCTTCCAATTAATCCACTTAATGCTTGGATGGCTCACTCAGCAGAGGATGGCAGCCAGGAGGACTCACCTAGGCACAGACACTCAGAAACCTCACTGCTCCCTCTCCCATCAAGTGACCTACTCTTGCTGGCCTGTTTGCCTCTTCTACAAAAAGAAACGGTACAGATCTCATTGGTACAGAATCGACAGTTAACACAAAGGATTAAAATAACATGAGGCTCCAAAGTAAGGGGCAGGGGAGACTGATGCTCATTGTATGCCTCTCTTTCTTTTCAGTATGTAAAATTCATGTGCAACAAATATAATATATAAATTTACAGTATTTATCAACATGGACACGAGCCTTTCACACACACACACACACACTCACAAAGACAAACCAAAACCTTTCTACCAAAAATCCATTAAATGAAGTAGGGTTCCAGAATGAATGTAGAAAAGCCCTGGTGAGAAGGAAATCTGTTTGAGAAGTTCACAGAAGCAGAAGTCTCAAAAATAGCTAGAAACAAAGTCTTCAATGACATAGATTTAAATGCAATGTGCCCAGACTCCAGGTCTGATTCAGGACACCCGAGGGGGTAGCTGAACTCTGCAGTTTTTACAAAACACTCTAGTAATTCAAAGTCTGGTGCATTTGGTGGGCATATCATATATTCATAAACACTGAAGGAGCGGGGAGAACATGTAAGGAAAAAAAAAAAAACTGGAAAGAACTTGCTCCATAGTTAAACTCTCCTTTGGACTCTGCTCTCTGAAGGCGAGAAACTGATGGCCAGTTGGTAAATAACAATGTGTGTTCCCCAACCCCCTATTAAAAGAATGCTTCTTGGCCCACAGTGATGGTGCATGCCTTTCATCCCAGCACTCAGGGAGGCAAAGGCAGGAGGATCTCTGTGAGTTCGAACATAGTCTTCATAGCAAATTCCAGGCCAGCCAAGGCTACCCAGTGAATTCCTTTCTCAAAAAGATAAGGCTACCCTATCCCTATCGCATCTTAAACTAGAGCAAACCCAAACTTAACCAATCCAGGCCAGCTCACAGGCTCATAAAGCCATACCGACGACACTGAAATTCAAGAACAGTTGGGCATGGCAGTGCATGCCTTTAATCCCAGCCATCCAGAGATAGAGAGGCAGGCTGATCCCTTTTTTGGGGGAGAGGGAAAGGGTGCCATAAATCCCCCAGTAACTCGTGGTTTTGTGAGTCTTAGTATAGGAAGTTCAGCATTGGCTCTTCCTCTGGGCTGGAGTTCATATGAAAACAGTAGACTTGACAATGTCTAAATCACTGGAAATCCAAGTATTCAAGCTGAACAAACATGTCTTTTCATATTGCTCTGGAATTTAAAAGGGAGAAGAGAAAAGGGCAACCTGAACTACAGCAGCTGCTATGTATGCTCCCCTCTCTGAAACAACCTTAACCCCAGCTACTACCACCATCACCTGGAATCAAACTTACTGTGTTAACTAAAATGAGTGACTGTCCTCTTCACCACAGCTGCCCATGGTGATGCCTGCAGAGCTGGGAAAGAAGCCTCGCCTTCCAGGAGTCTCAGACATGTTTCCTTAGTAAATGACCAAATTCTAATCCAGCTACCAAATGTGGCTAATAATTTTATTTTTAAAAGAAAAGGCCCCAGTCATCTCTCTCCTCTCTCTCTCTCTAAAAGGCCCCAGTCATCTCTCTCCTCTCTCTCTCTCTCTCTCTCTCTCTCTCTCTCTCTCTCTCTCTCTCTCACACACACACACACACACACACCTGTGAAGCTGAGGTCTGACAGAGCTCTCCTTCCTTAGATGGCTCCCCTGCTGTGATCCAAGGAGCCCCAGCAGCACCACACCTCACCCCCTTCCATCCTGGGCTGTGCGGTCCAAG